CTTCTGCCAAGCCAGGCCGGCAGCCATCGAGCAGGCCAAGTGCAGGGGCTTTGGGCCGGCCGTGCAAGCCCTGCCCGCCTGAGCCTCCTGCACCTGCCTGCTGCAGGGTTGTGCGATGGCAGCCAAGTGGGAGCAGGGCGCTGGCAGACCGGGGGGGAGTTTTGCCCGACTGGGGCTGTTGAGTGGTAGTGCCACCAGGATTGGCATAGCTTTTGGCAGAGGAAGCCCCCTGTGTCCACAGCCAGGGCTGCAAGTTCAAGTCCCAGCTTGGTGAGGTAAGCATGTGCTGCGGTTGCTTCCTGCAGGGAGCTTGCGAGTTGTGTGGGAGCAGCACCTGCTCCCCGGGGTGGACTCCTGCCGCGGTGCAACAGGACCCCATGAGGGTGCAAGTGGAGGGTCAGGGAAGGTGTGGCCACTGGTTCACCTGCCCCTCCTGGCAGCACAGCTCCAACCCAGCATTTTTGGCAGGATGTTCCATTAGCTCTGCTGGGGAAAGGCAGCGAAGGGCGATGTGCCAGCACAGGCTCCTGGTGTAACTCCTGAAGCAGTGAAGCTTACTACCTGCCAGAGGGCAGGACACAGAGCTGCGTTAGTTGTCCCTGCCTTGCTGGGCAGGAGGGGAGGAATAATGGAGATACTGCTCTGGAGCTCTGCCATTAGTATAGGCACTGCTCTCCCTTGTCTCTTTTCTAATCCTTTGTTCTTTGATATTCCTGGAGATAAAGGACTCCGAGCTTCCTCATTTCACACCTGAGATCCTGTTCTAGTCTTGCTGTGACTGCTGGGGTTGGGCGTTCTAGCCAGGAGTCAATGTTTCAGCTTCTGCCATGGAAATTGCCTGCTGTTGATAACCTGTGCAGCCAAAGATGGCTTATCTGTGAACATATCAAAGCACTGCTTTCTCCCCCCACACAGTAAGTGCAGCCACCATGAGCATTTGGTAACTCTTACAGTACAGACTAGACCAGCTGCCTTTTTGAGATTTGGGTCTCCCCATCACCAGGAGAGTAGTAATGGCCAGCATTGATGGGATTGCTGCAGCTCCCCTGCTGTAGTGCTGCTGCTGCATTCTCTGTGCCCTTGGTGCGAGTGCCCCTTTTCATGCAAGAAGGCATCCAAAAGAATTTACCATTTAACAATTCATAACATTTAAATTGTTCCCCAGAGAGTTACCATTGGTGACCTCTCTTTTACTAGACAGGGTGTTTGGATGCCTTTAGCTTTAAGTGCCAACTGACCTGCTGCTACACAAGTGTTTTTTGGTGTAACCTGAAGAACAATGTCCCTTTGGACACTACAGTCTCTGAATCTGAACCAAAAAGGGCCCTTTTCCAAACAGTGCAGTCACAGTTGTGCTGTGCTCCTCCTACAGGGGCACTCATGGAGCTGCTTTGAATGGCAGCCTGTGATGATCACCCTGTTCCAGCCATGGTGCCAGGCACAGCAAACTAGACTTTACCCCATGAGCCCAACTACTGTCTGTTGCTTGTTTCTCAATGGTTTTTATTGCACCATCATCTTGGTTTGTTGTTTCACACATTGAGCTCCCCTTTGCGTAGATAGGCACACAGCAGCTATAGCAGAACCCCCCTGCTGATGACAGGAATTGCCTATGATTGCATTTAAGGATTCTTTCCCCTCTTTTTTCAAATCGGTATCCAGGTACCAGATGAAATGAGGATTGTGGCCACTTTCGTTATTGTTACGGGATCATGGCTTTTTCTTGTCAGCCTTCACTGTGCATAAAATACTGCTAATTCAGGTCCACTTCCCTACCTCTGTAGACCAATGAAACTGCAACCTGTAAGTGAGCCAAAGTCACATGTTTGACTGTCTGTGGTCCCTTCGGTCACCATCCCAGCTGGGACAATGAGTTTCATTTCTCTACGGGTTTTGCTCTAAGTGTGAGCAGATGTGTTGCTTATAAAAGATAGCTTGTAGCTGGGCACAGAGACCTACGTGGGATGCAAAAAATGAATGAGGCTTTCCACATCTTTTGGTTCTGGTGACTAAGCCTCCCTATCTGTCACTCTGATAGTTACAGAGTAGTCGAAAGGACCCTGGCTTAAAACTGCCCAAGTTGCTGTGTAGCTGTTATCTCTGCAGCAGTGTGTGCATGCATATGTATGTGTGTGAGTAGAGTAAGAAATGGTGTTAATTTCCTCTTGCTCGTTTATATTGGCTGGCTGTTGGTACAGAGTGGTTGGGTAGAACTTTTTACTTTCTTTGTCTTGGCCAATCCATCGTCTGTTTCCAAGGAAATGGGAGTGGAAACAGCAGCTGTCAGCGGACGACTTAAACGTCTGGATCCACTTTTGCTAATTTTGTAGATGACATCCAGGATCTTTCCACTGCTGCCTGTCTCCTCTGTGCACCGTTTGTTCTCTGGGGCCTGTGTCACCTTTGTGTTTGTACAGTATGTTGTACAGCACAGTGCTGGTTCTGATTAAGGCCCCTGAGTGCTGCTGTTAGACATTTCAGTAAGGGCAAACAAGTTTGTACTTGCAATTCCTTCAGACAATAGGAACATTTCTCTGAGATTCTTTTCTGTGTGGTGAGCAGACTGCAGCACAGCAAGTGGTTGTAATGTGGCACCCCTGAAATCAGAGCTGAGACAGCTTGCAGTGCTAGAGCCTGTGGGTGGTTGTCTTTGTCTTGAGTTTGAAGGATATTATGAGGCTTTCATGAGAAAGGGTTTTTGGTAGCCGTCCTCTAGCACTCGCACCTCTCTACTATCCCACATGTTTCCCTTTGGGTGGAAGATGACTTAATTGGGAAAAACTATAATCTATGTAATTTCAAGTCGGCTGCAGGGGGCGGGATCAAGATGACCCGGTCCTAAATTAGCTTTGGTTTGTTTGCATCCTACAGTGGTGTTGGTTAAAACATTGTAGAAGTTTGAGGTGCTCTCGCCCTTAGAAAAGTCTGAATCGTGGCCAAGACCTCTGGTGCAGTGCCCTTACTGAAACTGGACCCCTCCTTTGGTGTAAGTGGGTTCACTGCACCTATTGGAGAGCAGCGTATTCAGAACTGTGCTTCTACAGGATTTGAGTTTGGGAGTCTTTTTTGCAGCTGCTGCCCAACCTTTCCCTCTGATGCCTTGGATTAAGTGTGAGCAAGTAGAGCAGGGAACGCAAGTTGGGAAAGGTAATAGCTCCCTCCTGTGGTCAGGGCTAGGAGGGGATGCAGGGCATGAAAGAACTGGCTCTAGAGCCAGTGTGTTTGTAACTGCCTGTGGGGTTAGACACCTACATACTTCCTAAAGACTTATCTCTGTACTCAGGCTTTTAGAAGTGCCTCAAAAGCTAACTCTCACTCTTGTTGCTTTGTTTTTGGAATTCAGCTTCTGATTATGGCATGAAGCTGCCAATCTTGCGGTCCAATGCAGAGGATCAGATTCTGTACCAGACTGAGCGTTACAATGAAGAAACCTTTGGTTACGAGATTCCCATCAAGGAGGAGGGGGACTATGTATTGGTGCTGAAGTTTGCAGAGGTCTATTTTGCACAGTCCCAACAGAAGGTAAGTAATGTCTCCTTAGCTCTAGGGTCTATGCCTCACTATTACTGGTGATACTCATTTTTCTCCAGGGTTATGCTTCTTGGGATTGTCAGTAGCCTCTTGCATATTGCTGCCTGTTGGGATTAAGATGTGTGGAACAGCTGTAGAAAGGGGTGGAAAGCACTTATTAAGGGCTAAATTCATCCCTAGTGTAAATCTACTGAAGCCAGCGGAGTTGCTGTAGAGAAGATGGCATCTGTAGGGTGCCTCACAAAGTGACCCTCAGCACCTGCCTTGTAGTTCAATATATGGCAGCCTTTGCTATGAAACAATATCTTCAATAAATTACATAGCTAAATAGGTCTGGAGGCTTCAAAGCATTAATGATTTTTACCCTGCTTTATAATCCCTTCTTTACAGCTGAGTCAAGGTTACCCAATAACTCACTAGGGATATGGGGTCAGGACTTGTGATTCCTGACTCCTGCACCATCTTGCTTTCCTGCTTGTTGATTATTTCAAGTAGCTGGCCAACACTGCCATTGTCTTAGAGAGTGGAAATGACTGGATGTGAAGGGAGCCTCCTGCCAAATAGGTCTGCAGGAGTTAAGGACTAGTGTAGCCCTGGTTCTGTTTCCTTTGTGTAGTATGGAGGGTGGCCCCAGTTATGAGTGAAGCTCGAGTCCCCAGAACCCAGAACTGGCATCCACTTGGATTGTGTGCACTAGGCTAACAGTTTAGTCTCGTAGTTCTTCCTTCTGCCTCTTCTCTCTCTTCTCCCCTTGCCCTGTTCTTTCACGAACTTGAGCTTAATAAACCCAGAGCCAAGTTAGCAGAAGTGCTGAGCACCCACAGCTACCACTCGATTGATTAGGAGTTGTGAGCACTGGGCACCTCCTGACAGCAGGACAGGATAATACTGCTTTCCTTAGTATGGAACAGTAGCAAGGAGGATACCTGTTAGAAGCCTGGGGGCAGGCTTACTTGCACCAAATGACATCTAACAATGACTATATGAAACTTTTTAAACAGTATAATGTTTTATCTTCAACTGGCTGCACTGGGATGTTGAATTCTTCTCATTAAGGGAGGGAAGCAGATGCCCATGTATGTGGAAACTAGCAGTTTGATAATGTACACTGTCACACCCTCTTGCCTCTCAGCTGTTTGACAAGCATGGACCATTTCTGTCCTGTTCTCTCTGTTATCATGTACCTGGTTCCTTTCTGATGCTCTCTGCAATCTGTCTCCCCACCAAAGGTATTTGATGTGCGTTTGAACGGCCATGTGGTGGTGAAGGATTTGGATATCTTTGACCGAGTTGGGCACAGCACGGCTCATGATGAGATCGTTCCAATGAGCATCAAGAAGGGGAAGCTGAGTGTTCAGGGAGAGGTTTCCACATTCACAGGGAAGCTCCAAATTGAGTTCGTCAAGGTAACAACTCGTGGAGGGCACTGGGCTTTTCCTTGTTTTCTTTTTTTCCTCTTCTTTTTGCTGTGTGGTGCAGCTGTGTGGGTGGTGGTTGGGGTCACTGACTTCTTCTGGTTTGTTTGGTTTTTTTTTCTCTAGGGATACTACGACAATCCAAAAATCTGTGCATTATACCTCCTGCAAGGAACAGTGGATGGTAAGCTACTGAGCCTTTTCAATGCTCCAGCACTGTCCATGTGGAAATCAGCCCATTATTACCTAGCCCCTGCATGCAGCACTCCATCTGTAGTGGCAGGCTTTGCTGAGTTGTCTGGGCCACACCCATCTCCCTCTGCTTTCCCTGTGAGGGTGTGCCATAGTGCATGCTTCCTTCAGGTGTGGGCCTGCCTCCTCATTTACAAAGACTGGTGCATGTACAGTTCAAGACTGATCCTAGTTGCCTTCCCACCCACCCTCATCAATCTTGCCTCTTACAGACACATAGCTAGAGGCAAACTCTCTGGCTGAATGATGTCACAAGCAACTGCAGACTGTCTGCCTTTGGGGACCCCTGTGGCTAATAATGGCTCAGTTTCTGATCTGTCACTTCCTTTCCATGCTGGGCTTCTGGCTTCGTGGCTCCGAGGATGCCACTGGTTTTCCCAACCTTCAGTTCAGAATATCTGCGCAATGTGTGCACTTTGTGGGGAGGGTAAGTGGGGTCCCTCTTTCTGTCGCCCTGTTTTTTAAGCCAGGGCATCTCTGGGAGTCCAGTGATATCTCAGCATCTTTCTGTGTAGTGAATTTGAAATCTGGCTCCTTATCAGTATGGGCTGGACTTGGATGGTATTGTCTTTTGCATTGTTTTGGTGAATGAGTAGAGAATCTCTGGCAGGTTTAGAGAAGGGCTGCTGTGTGGGAGGGTCCTTTGTAGGACTGGAAGCACTTAGTTGTCTAAGCATCAAATCTGTCATTGTTCACTGGGATCTTACTGGGCATCCAGGAAGAGTAGGAGAAGGGTCTGACTGCCTTTCTGTTGTAAACCTGCCTGCATGATGTAGTTCTTCCTGCATGAGGAGTGCAGGGATGTCTAGATTTCCTTGACCAACCAGCTGAGAGGAGGGCTGTCTGAGTGTCTCTGCATGGGGAGTTTATGCTGGATTGGGGGTACTGGCAGTGTAAGGCTGCCTGTAGGTCCATGGGATATTGCTGGTGCCCTGTTCTATTTGGCTGGGGGAGGGTCTTGCCTGCTAGAATCCTGACAGCTCCTTCACCCTTGCGGATCTTTCTCTTCTGCTCCAATAGATGTTCCAAAGCTGCAGCCTCACCCAGGCCTGGAGAAAAAGGAGGATGAGGATGATGAAGAGGAGTATGAAGAAGGCCCCAATGTTAAAAAACAGGCCAATAAGAACCGGGTTCAGTCGGGTCCCCGCACACCAAACCCTTATGCCTCAGACAACAGCAGCCTCATGTTCCCTATATTGGTGGCCTTTGGTGTCTTCATCCCTACCCTCTTCTGCCTGTGCCGGTTGTGAGAGAGAGCCCTATACAGAGGCAGCAGTGGGGACAAGAGGGAGGGAGTCGGACCGAATGTGGTTGCTTTCCATGTCCTCCAAATTGTTCATAATTTAAGGAAAAAAGTTCATTTGAAGTGAACAGCAGGTACAGGGACAGGGGAGCTTGCCTCCCTCCAGCCAGCGATCAGGGAGGCCTCCGCTTTCCCACTCTCACCGGAAGCGGCCTCCTTTCCTCCCTGGGGCATTTGAGACTAAACTGGATCCTTGCTGTCTGTAGAAAGCAGAAGCTGGTATACTTCAGTCCATATCCCACAAGGAGAGGAAGTAGCGTGACCCAAGCTTTTTACCCTTGTCAGGGTGGAATATCATCCGCATGAGAACCTAAGTAAGGAGGCAGCTTTGAAACCAGGCTTAGATGTGTGTCTTCACCAAAAAGATGCACAGACTTTCTGGTGTGATTGGGTGACACTTTAACAACCATGGAGGAGAGAGACTTCCTCTTCGATATCTGCCTGAAAGTGTGTAACTAAATGTACGGTACTTCCTTGCGCTACACCTGCTAAGGCTCCGCCTCGTTGCTTGGTCTCCTGGGAAATGTTCTACCTTCAGGGTGCGAGTTGCATCAGAAGCAGATGGAATTATTTGGCCTGACTTGCTGCATTGGATGGGAGAGACTTTTCTCTTGTGATGATTTGAAGTTTGTTGCTGAGAGGTTCTGCCATGCCCTGCAGTAGGTCCGCTTTTTGTTAGTGTCTCTGACCCAGATGCATTTTTTTTCTGTACAAGTTGTGGTTTTATTTCTTTTTTTTAAATGTTCTTTTTCTCTTCTGTGGTTCATTTAAAGTCTCATCCCTTCCTCTCTCTAATGTATGGTGTCTGCTCAAGAGCTGCTAGGGACCAGGTGTTCAAAAAATGGAGGTTCTTAGCATCTCCACTGAGTCTCCAGTGCTTGTGCCTCCTTGCTCTGACTGTTGGTCTAGTGTCTGTAAGACAGGAGAGCAACCCTTCAAGTACTTCCTGGCTACTCCCTAATCCCAGCTGCCTTGACCAGTCCAGTCCAGAGCAGTGTGAGATTGGGAGCAGTCAGTGTGTCCCATCAGCTACTCTGTGTAGGGTTTGGTATCTCAGGACTTGCCTGTGCGAGAGGTTCTGGCACATGCCAAAACTCTAGCCCATAAGGTGACCATATCTAATGGTTGTGAAGAGTCTGAAATGGAAGGGAAGTCCTCTAGACCAGCCCAACCAGCCTCTTCAGTTACCTGGGGATGAGTTTAAACCACATTGTTTGCTTTCCACCAGCAGTGTCTTAGCAAGATGACTGCTCCCGTGTGAAGGGAGTGTGTTCCATGTGTCATGTTGCTGTCTGGTTTTGGTTGTGTGCCTGGTGTGAGGAGAGCAGTGCTTTCAGATACTTGAAGCTGAGCTGAACAGTGTCCAAACAATAGTCCCTCTGTGTTCAAGCTGATCTCTTCCTGCTCTGAAAGGACTGGTTCCTCAGCAGCTGATCCTCTGAGTGCTGAGCACTTGAAGCTCCCAGGGAGTTATGAATAAACCTTGCCTGGCATGAGGGGCTCAGCACCTGAGGTACTCAGGATTGGGTGTTCTGTGATGCTTGAAGTCTTTGTGTACCAGCCTGGTCAGCTTCCATTCTAACAATGTTCCTGCTCTATGTGTTACCTTTGCCAAGGAGCGCATCTGTTTTCATCTTGTGCAGCTGGACTGAGGAATCCCTCCCTGCACTCTGCTTCTCCTTGTCCTACTGGTTGCCTTCAGTAAAATCACATTTAGCTGCTCAGTTGACTTGGCCTTTCTCTAACAACAGGCAGAGTCTCTTGCAGAAGCCACACAAGCCTTCTGCTTTTCCAGCCATGTGCACTGCTGCTCCATGTTTAACCACAACTGCATTTTCTAGTGTCAGTGAAGAATATCAAGCCCAACTGACTTTTTTCTTCTGCTGTTGTTGACCTGTAGTATGCACACAAGCAGCACATCTGGAAAAGCAGCAGAGAAGCTTGGTTGTAAGAAAACATACGCAAGGAAGAAAAGGCCAGTGCTATAGGCAAATAGATCCTGGAGTAAGCTGGGCTCTGGAATGCTAGGATGTCTGGTGGAATAGCAACTTTATCACTCTGCCTCTTTCTGAAGCCTTATTGCTCCTAGAACTTCTTACTTTCAATATAAGACCTTTTTTTTGAGTGGCAGTGCCTGAAAACCAAGTAGAACACTGAGATTTCTTGGTCACCATCACTAACCAACTAGGCCCCAGGCTTTGGGACTTTACTTTGTGGGAACTTTGGGACTTTATTTTGTAGGGACAGTCCAGCCTTCCAAGTCAAGAATGTTTTCTTCCTCTTTGTCTGAGGTGCTGGCAGTTCTTAGTTGTGCTGCTTCTTGGGCAGGACCCAGTTTGGCTCCTGTTGACATGGCTCAGAACAATTTCTTTGGCTTGCTCAATTTAGGCTGAGGGGCCCATGTCTAGAAATGTGCATGTTTGAGATGGAGGAAGCTAATTAGATCAGACCATTCCCCTGCAAGGCTGGGATAGTTGGTCTCTTTCCTTTCCAACAGAGATTATGTGCCATGGTTTGCTTAGTCTGGAGCCTGCTGCATGGGGCCTGACTTCTGTGGTGTGTGAGAGCTCACGTTTCTTAATTTAAAGCAATTCAGCTTAGAACATTTGGGAAGAGGATCATAATCTGCTTTGCAGTAGCGTGTCACCAGATGGGTGTAGAATTTCCTAGTTCATCACTGGTCTCCTGGAGCCATTATGGTACTATAATAAATCTGCTTTCTTCCTTGCTTTCTCGTTCCAGCCCATCAGTTTCTGACAGCTTTAGATTTTAGTCAAGGCAGCAAAGGCTCTTTTATTGGTAAAAGGTATATGAGGATTCTGACAAGGTTAGAGTCTGAGGGAACCATCCAACATGTGGGTGGATGTTGAGGTCTGATTTTTTTTTTTTTTTTTTTTTTTGGCTGGCTTTGCTTGGACCTCTTCCTGTCTGGCATCTGCACATCAGGTGGGTAAAGACTGACTAGGTACCTGATTCTGGGAGAATATAGAGTTATATGTCTATTGTTGATTTATTGGGAAATATCTTCATTCAGCTGTTGCCTTTTGCTGTTGGTTTCCATTTGTATTTGGGGATGAATGGTTAAGAATGAACATGTATGGCAAGGTGCAAAGAGCCCTGCATATCCCAGCCTGAAAACTAGTGTGCAGAGCTATTTGTGACTTGCAGGAAACGTACTTCCCTTCTTTGCCTGCTGATCTAGGAATCCCCAAAGCTGGTACGTGATGGAAGTGAGTAGGCACCAGTGATGGCTTCTGCTTGTCCTAAGCTTTGTCTGGCTGCTTTCCTTTTGAAAGTGTGTAAAACTTACGGCTGCTGTTCTGCTTCTCTAAACTCAGAGTGGTTCAGCAACCTTGTGTGCTGGAAGCACATAACACAGTTTCCTAGATATTTGGGGACCAAATAGAAACATTAAAGTGTATGAACAGACTTCAGATTGCCTACAGATAACCAGCAGCAAGTAATGATGGGCCTAAGCCCTCAGCACCTGCCTTTACAGTCATATGGAGGGCAGACATGGGACAAACCAGTCATAATTCACTGGAGGATATTGATTTTGGAGGTTACTGTGTGCTGTGGAGCAGATTGTTTAAATGGTTGTTTCAGCCAAGTACCCTGCTCCAAAATACACGTTTAAATCTCCCCAAAGGCATGGGCTGATATTCTGGGCTTCCCAAAGGGAAGATTCCAATGGTTGGGGGTTTGGTTTTTTTTGTGGTGTTTTTTGTTTGTTTGTTTGTTTTTTGTTTTTGTTTTTGTTTTTTTTACACCATACCCTTTCCTCTGTTCCCAGAGGCAGGGTTTTGGAGTAGCAGGCAGCTTTACCTACCCCTGCTCTCTGTGCCCCAGCTTCCTGCTAATGGCAGTAGAAGGCATGCAAGGAGTATGGGACTGAGCCCTGTGTATTGTTCAGGCCAGCTGGGGAAGGAAAGGCCTGTTTATCCTTAACTTTAAATTCCCTGGCTTCAGTAGCTGTTAGCTAACCCTGTGACTGCTCCATGGTGTTTGTACAACTAGAACAGCATCTGCCCGGTCCCATGTGGAAGTGAGCAGAATGCCAAAGCGAATCCTTTTGTTCATTTCTGGTGCCTTTGTATCATTTAATTACAGATAAGTTTGAAGAAGCTTCTGTTCTAAGGACCTTCTTTCCTCTCTTTTTTTAATTTTAAATCTGTTTCCTGGATCCAGCTGTCCCTGCTCAGACACTTGTACCCCTGTGAGGAACAGGGGAGCCGTCTCATTGTCTCTTTGCTCTGGTACATCTCAGCTTCAGTGCAGAGCTGCTTGCAGGTGTCTTCTGCTCTGGTTCTTGCTGTCTCTGAATAGAGTGATGGGTGCTGGAAGAGATGATGTACTCTTTCAGGGTTGGCCTCCTCAAAGCAGTCTCCAGTGAAGGCTCCTGGAGGAGGACTAGGGATTTCCCAAGCCACATTGCAAAATACATGGGCAGAATTGTGCAGGTGCCCGGTGGGAATAGCCGGGTGCTGCTTGACAGATTTAACATGCATTACATTCACTTGCCTATAGACCTGTTGAAGGTTTGACAAGACTCATGGTCAGCTGTTGGGTAGCAATGTGGCTTTGAGCTGCCTCCAAATCTGTTTCTACATGAACAGCGTAGTTTGGGTCATGGCATCGACTCCATCCTGCCATTGGAACCTTGCTGGCCCTGGGCTTTTCGCTGCACTGTCTGGTCCAGCAAGGCTCTAAACTAGGAGCAGACTGCCACCTTGGAGTGCTTTGCACCTGGGCTTATTGGGGTAGGCTGGCAATAACATGGGAAGCAGAGTCTAGTTTCAGCTATAGCCTGATACTATAGTAACCCTTTGTTACCTGAGAGAGAACTCCTCTCAGGAGCTTGTGTGCAAGGTGTGAGGATTAGCCTCTGAGAACAAATATATCAAATCCCAGGAGTGTCTGTCCTCTCTTTGTATCCACTCAGCCCATTTCTCTGGGAACCCAAGGAAAGGTGGGCTCAGTTCTTCCACTGGCTGTGTTTTATGCTCAAAAGTGCAAGGTCTAATAGGCCTGCCTCTTTCACCTTGGTCCATTTCCACTTGACTCTCTTTAGTGGGTAGTTCTAAATGAGCTTAGACAGGTATACCTGAGGGACACGACAATATGAGATGGAGCTGTGAACTCCCCATATAGGATGGAGCTTAATATTAATAATGGGCCCTTTGTGCTGCCTCCCTAGTTCCTGATCTTGGCCTAAGGGGAAGGGATTGGTGTTTCATATCAGCGCTGAATGGGCTCATCCCATGCATACAGTAATAAATGCACTTAACTTCTAGTGCTGGTTTGTGCAGAGGAGTTTGAAGCTGGCCTGCGTCTTCCTGGACTCTGGCTTGCTCAGAGTTTATAGCTGTACATTAAGGAATATTTTTGGAGAACTGGGAAAAATGCCACCTGGTGAGCTGTCCTTGGCTTGGTCAACAGGACTCTCCTTGCTGATTTATTAATAGCGTCTGATTTATTTTGTCAATAAGTGCTTTATTTAAAAAACAGAAGTGCTTTCCTCCCTTCACAGCAGCGCTGTCTGATCAGGAAATATTGAATGCTTCACTACAGCCAGCAAAGGCTTCTGCTCGGGGCATTGCATAATGGAGATTCCTCCTGGTGTAAGTGGCAAACAGCAACTTGGATGGGTTTCTTAACAGGAAGCTTTTCTAAGTGTGTGTTTAATCTAAGAAGGGCAAAAGGTTTTGACCATTCTTTCCTATTTCTGTGTGTTAAGGAAGTGTTTATTTGTTCATCACAGCCATTTTCTCTCAGTCAAACACGTTTGGGCCAGGGTCTCTGAGTAAAATGTTCACTGGAGGCTCACTAGTAAAGCAGGATCAGAATTGTTTGGAGCAGCTTGTACTCAGGCCCTAGCTGCTTATCCAGTCTGTGAAATGGCCCCTGGCTGCATGAAGCCAAAGTAGAAGTTTTAGCAGCTTCAGGCTGGGGTCTGGGGGGCAGCAGCCTGAACTGTCCAGGGTTTTAGCCTAGTTATAGTGACATCGATTTTTTTTCCCCCCTGCACAACAGCCCTTAACTGTGTTGAAATGAGGTCTTTTGACTTGATTGTGATTCCTGTTGCTCTGTTAATGGCTGGCTGTGTAGACAGGGCCTTAATAAACAGCATTTGTGCCTCTTCCTGCTATGAGGATGCTGGCTTCTTGCAGTGAGTTGATCTGTTGGGCATTAAAGATAGCACAGTTGCAAGCTACTCAAGGCTGCAAGCCTAAGATTGTCCATGAAGGAGAAAGCAGTTGGAGAGCAATTTTCATCTGTATTTGTCATCAGTACTAAAGGGTTTTGAAGGAGGTCTGTTTGTTTTGTTTTTCTTGTTTTTTTACTGTCCATTGTGTTGTAACAATTTACAGTGATATTTCTGTTTGCAGCAAGCTTGGGCCCTGGGTGAAAAGCACAGATGTCTCTTTCTGATTGCATTGGCTTTGCAAAGACTTGTTTTTGGGGGAAAGAGGTGGGGGTGGGTTATTTTATTTTTGGTACATGTAGCTGTTTATTTTTTAATTTTTCCCAGGATGTTTGGTTGAGGGAATGTTCTGAAATCTACTGCCTGGCAGTTTTAACCAGCAGTGTGTTAAAAGGAAAATAAACAAAATTATATTGTCACTTGCATGAACTGGTGTTTTTTCTTTCAAAGGTGAACTAGGGGAAACCTCCTTTGCTTTAGGGCAAGGAGAATTTTACATCTTGTAGCTGTGTGAAGCTGGGACTCTGCACTGCAGAGAGGATTGCAGGCAGCTGATGAGATGCAGTTTAAAATCCCACCACTGCTACAGCTGGAGTCTCTGAGCCCCTAAAGCAGCCATGAGTCTGTTTTTCTCAGAGTCCCTCTTGCTTGTGTCTAGGTCTCTGAAAACTGGATTGTTTCTCTCTGATCTTGAAGAGCACTGTAACTGTTCTTATCCTGCACAACATGACTTTCACAGGTGTCAAGCTGGGCTTTGTTGTTTCCTGCTTGGATCAGGCAGGCTAGAGGCAGAAGCTATCTTGCTTCTGTGTGTGTGGAGGGATCTGTGCCAATCTTAGTTTGAGACAAAAAGGCAAATAGAAGACGGGGACCTCTCTCCAAGCAAATTGATGCTAGCAGGGTAACTCACCCATCCTTCCCCTGAGCTGTTGGGCTGCTTGTGACACAGCAGAAGCAATTCCTATCGCCTTGCTGTCTCCAGAAGAAACAGCAGTAGAGTCTAAAGGTCTAAAATGCGTCTTGGTACAGTTGAGGCTTCATCTTTGAGGGGTTACCCTTTGCTGGCAGTACTTGAGGCATACAGCCTTATCTGCAGGTACTGTGGATTCTGGATGGGTACGATTGTCTGAGGTAGCTTGCATTGAAGGATGCCCAGAGCCATGGCAGGAGAATGTGTGAACACATGGCATTTCTTATCAATGATAAGACAGTAGCACTGCATGTGTAAATAGGACCTGGCTGGTTGTTCCAGTCAATGTGGTGGCTGTGGCCTGTGAGGAAGGAAGAACTGTACCTACTTTGTACCTGAATGCATCTGCCTGGGAGGAGGTGGCAGGGAGAAGAAAGTGCCTCTTGCCTTCCTCCCATTCCACTGAGGAGACAGATGTAGCCCCTAGAAGACCCTTAGGTGTGTAACCAGCCTAAAAGGAAGGTGAGTTGTATTTTCTTGTCTGATGAAATTTGTTCCCTTCTAAGGATGATGCTCTGGGTGAGCTCCACCAGAGGTGATATCCGATGAACTCAGACCCAACATCTGCAATTCATGTTTCCCTCTGTGTTCTCAGAGCCCCCTGCACTCTGACTGAGAACATCCTTCCTCAAGGGGTGATCTTGATTAGACAGCTAAGACGAACAGTCTGTGGCACCCTGTTTGAGTAGAGGGAACAGGTCACAGCTGTGCCACTCTGAAAAATGACATATCCTCAAGAGGAGAAGCTGCAGCAGAAGTGAATATGAGATGACTGAGGTTTTGTTGTTAAATGCAGTGTCTGAGAGTGTCCTTACTGTCTCACTCAGCTGCAGTATTAGCAAGATTGGAAGAGTGAAGCCTGAAAAGAGAAGGCTGGGATAGTCATATACAGCAGAGGGCTTTCCCCAACCACAGTTCAGCCATTTGCTGTCCCTGGCTGGTAGGTATTTCATAGATTTCATAGACATTAGGGCTGGAAGGGACCTCGGAAGATCATTGAGTCCAGCCCCCTGCCCAAAGGGCAGGAAGTCAGTTGGGGTCATAGGATCCCAGCAAGATAAGCATCCAAAATTTACTGCATCCTATTTACTGCAGTCTATTTTAGGCATGGCCAACCTTGGCCCCCCCCCGGGGGCAGACAAATAGGATTTTACTGACCAGGAGATTGTCTTAGTCCTGTTCGACAGACTCACCTGCTTAAAAACTTGCAGGGGGAAGATAGGAGATGCCAGATGCAGTGAGTTTGGGGGACCTGGGGAAGAAAAAATTAGTCCTAGTTCCTCAAAGGGACTTGGATGTTGCAAGGTTCAGACCCATGGTGCCTGCCAAAGGCTCCTGACCCTCGGAGTGAAATCCTCTGGTCTGGGCTTAGACTCACTATAGAACGTGTGGGGGGGAGTTGGTGCCTCAGGATAGGATTCTCCATGCTGGGCTAAGTAAGAGAAAATCCTGAGGAGAGGGGTTTCCTAACCCCTGATCCTTTGTAGAAAAGGGGGACATTGCTTGGGCTAATTAGATAGTTCAAATGACCCAAATAAAGGGCTATGCAGCCACCAGAGGAGATCAAGAAGCCACACTTCACTTCCAGCTCCCTTCATTAAATAAAGGGACTTGTGGCTGTTCCCTGAAAGCTCTGTGCCTCTCTCAGGACTGAAAGCCACCTTCTCTGTAATTAAATTGGTGCCCCAGAGGATTTTTTTTTTGCTTGATTAAATTAACGAGCAATACAGTAGTGCTGCTATCTACTCCAAATCTGATTGAAGAGAGCCAAGTGCTGATGGGAACAGATGGGAGAAACTGGGCTTGTGATGCACTGTAGTTACAGGATAAATCAGACCCCAAAGCATAGTATGTGGGAGTAGAGCAGTTCCTTTTCCTTCTGCTAATTCCCAGGTGTGTCTGCTTTGCCAAGGATTTGCTGTGGCTACAGGAAGGAAGGGCTCCATCCACCTAGGAAAATATATTCATCTAGGCTTATTTAAAGCAAGTGCTGTGTGAACCCCGCAGGGTGGAGCAGTGTTGCAATGATTGCACTAGCAATACAAGACGCACCCTGGGCCAGTCCTGC